CCCTCCTCCCCTTCCCCTCCGCCTGGGTCCTCCCGCCCCCTCTCTTCCCCTCCCCCGTCTTCCTCCCCCTCCGCTGCGGGGGTGGGGGCGGAGCAGGGGTGGGGCTTGGGGCGTGTCCAGTTTCGGAGGTGGGCGAGTGCAGATCTGGGAAGGGGGCGGTTTTCTCCTCCGGGGTAACGGTGGAAGCCTGGTACGAAGGAAGGTGTCCCAGGTTCCAGCGCTGGGCTTCACCGAGGAACCCTCCGGGGCACGGGAGGGTTCGGGGGCGGGGTTGGGGGCAATGAGAAGACGTAGGACAGAAAACTAAAAAGGGACAAAGACTCCGGGGTCTGTTGGGTGGTCTGCTGTGGGTCCGTCCCCTGCCACCATACTGAGCTCCCATGAATCTGGAGCGTGAGTTAAGGCTTACTTACCTTGGTCAGGGAAACTGAGCCGTGTGTCTCGACCGGGAGTTGTCAGTACGAAGCTACAACTGTGTGGTGCTTGGGCAGAACACACACCGGCTCCAGGGTCTGCAGGAAGGAAGGCAGGGAGATGGCATCGTCCCGCCTCGTTTCAGATATGGACGTGGGTGGAGGGGACGAGCAGTTGGAAAGGGAGCAAGTCAAGCCACTGTTACACCTATATCTGGGAAGGCCATTTCGTTATCAGCACGATGTGTTTTGGAGAATCACTTGCAGCTACGGAGGAGTGGATTTAAAAGAGAAGATCGCTTTGATGGGGAGGTGGGACAGTGGCGTGCCTTCTGCGTAAAGAGGCTTTAATAAGAAACTGATCACCTCTGTGACACGTTGAGGAAATTACATTTAGTGTTATTTTTTTCAGATAAATGCCCCATTAGGCTTATTAATTATGTGGAAATCAGAAAATATGGTATTATCTGAATAAATCTTGTTACAGTGTAACGCGATTTTGCAGTTCAGTGAGGTTGGGAGGTGTGAGGTTCTTTCCACCTTGCATTTTTTTTTTTTTTAATTTTTTTAAACTAACATCCACTGGGATTGTAGGGGTTAAGCACCAGTTTTCTTTTTATTAGTGATGGTGTTGGGAAGCATTACCTCTTAGAATGAACTGAAGTCAGAGATGATTTCTATTAGGATCAGAGTGAGATTCTTGCTGATGGAATTGTGTGCTCCTAAAAAAATATCCTGGTTGAAACAGATGGTCTTCAGGTGATAATCTTGTTACTGCTCCATGTCATTAGTTTATTGGTTGAGATTTATATGGTGTGTGTAAGATTCCTGTCCGCCTTGGATTCCTTACTTAAGGAATCCCCTGCTTTTTTCTTCTGTCTCCCCTTCCCCTGTAAATTTTTAACAAAGCTGAAGGAGTCAAGTTTAACACATCATTAACTTTGTCTCCTTTCCTAAAGGAAGGAATCACTTTTTCTTTTGCTATATGTCTTGGATTAACCCTTTAATGCCAGTTGCTTAGTTTGGGAGCTGTTGAAGCACATCTCTGTTACTCACTTGTAAGAACTTGAGCTATTGACAGACAAGAGGTGGTGATAAATACTTATCTCAAATTTCAGATCTGTCACTGTTTTGTAGTATACCAGCCAGGAATCCTAATGTCCTTCGTCTTTTCTGCTCCAGATTTTGTTGGGGGGGCGTCATTTTTGTGTCATTTGGGTCCTGTCTAACTGTATGTCTAGCACTCTCTAGTGGCCCAGCCAAGGAAGAGTTGGTTTGACAAACGGTTTAACCTTCGTGGTTAACAGTGAACAATACATGTTTCACAGTGAGTAGGATTCTCAGTAGATCTCTATGTAGACTTGGTATATTTTTGGTTTTAACAATATGAAGTTTGCTATAAAAATATTTCAACTTAACGGGGCGCCTGGGTCGTTAAACATCTGCCTTCGGCTCAGGTCATGATCCCAGGGTCCTGGAGTAGAGCCCCGAGTTGGGCTCCCTGCCCAGTGGGAAGCCTACTTCTCCTTCTCTCTCACTCCCCCTGCTTGTGTTCCCTCTCTCGCTGTCTCTCTGTGTCAAATAAGGAAATAAAATCTTTGAAAAAAATATTTCAACTTAAGTTATAATCTTCGTAAATAAACAAAGGTGCCCTTTGAGGTTGAAGTCTCAGCAACAATGTAACCATAGAAATAAAGCCCTGATTGGTGTGAGGTGGTGTCTCAATAAAGCCCTGGATAAACAGGTGAGCTTTCTCTAAGTAGAAAAGGGTTATGGTTTTTGTATCCACCTTTGACTCTTCTTTTGGTAGGCACAGAGTAAGAAGAACATGATCAGTTTTGATAAGTTTCTGTCCAATATAGGCTTGAATTTCAGTAATACCCGTGTACTACTGAATTTAAAAATGTTCCCATGTTCCTGTGAGTTAGTACTCAGTGCTGCCACAGGGGACTCTGCTTTTCTGGCATGTGTTGAATATAGCAAATATCTTACCATTTTAGGGTTTGTGTGTGAAAAACTGACAATGAAAACATCAAGATTTTAAGTGCTACTGGTTATTATGACATAACAAAGTCTACATTGTATTTTGAATATATAGACCTTGGGAGGAGGATGGGGAATATTGTTTAAATAATCACTCCTCTTTTTTTTTTTAAAGATTTAATTTATTTATTTGACAGAGAGAGACACAGCGAGAGAGGGAACACAAGCAGGGGGAGTGGGAGAGGGAGAAGCAGGCTTCCTGCTGAGCAGGGAGCCTGATGCGGGGCTCGATCCCAGGACCCTGGGATCATGACCTGAGCTGAAGGCAGACGCTTAACGACTGAGCCACCCAGGCGCCCTGCACTCCCCTCTTTTTGAACTGTTTCTGTGACTCTAAAATTTTGCAGCAACTTGTCCTCAAAACACAGCCCTTTTGGGAAGCCTTGGGTGGCTCAGTCAGTTAAGCGTCGGCCTTCAGCTCAGGTCATGATCCCAGAATGGGATTGAGTTCCATATGGGGCTCCTTGCTCAGTGGGGAGCCTGCTTCGCCCTTTGCCTGCCCCTCCCCCTGCTTGTGCACATGCACACGCTCTCTCTCTCTCTGACAAAATCTTAAAAAAAAGCAAAATACGACCTTCTTTATAGATGTAGTAAATACTTTTACCAACTATACCTTGCCCCAAGCGAAGAAGAGTTGTCAAACATACTGTAATTTTGGTATTATGGGTTCTGGTTTAGTTTGGTCAGTAATCTGGAGGACAGTAAACTGCTTTTGAAGGTTTCTGTCCGAGGCACAAAATTTGGGGCCTAAAGCAAGCCTTTGGGTAGAAATTCTTAGGGAAATACTTCCTTTGAGAAAGGGCCTAGAGAGAAGGAAACTTACCTGGGAAATGATAGATAAGAGGCAGGGGGACTCTAAGATCCAGTAGTCATACCTTACTTGAACAATGTGTTCTGTTTGATGTTTGTGGTCTTCACACCGCCATTTAAATATGGAATGATTCCCTGTTTTTTAGAACTTTCATTCTCTCTTCAGTCCAGTCAACTCTGAACCCTGGGTTTCTCTCTTCAGGAATTGAAATCTTAGTTGTCAAAATGCCATTAAATAGTAGGTGTCACAGAGCCGGATTACAAATATCTGCCTTAAAATTTAGAGTACTTGTAGATGCCCAATGATAATTCTCACACGTAGGCTAATTGGAGCCTGAACATACATAAAGGAATGCGTAAATAATTCTAGGTGCTTAATTGTCGGTCAGTTTTACTGAGGAAGATAAAAATGCGTGAATCTGTGTATTTAAAAAAAAACAATTACAGAAGTGACGATAGGAACATACTCTCTTTTTTTGCATTTTTTTTAAAGATTTTATTTATTTAGAGAGAGCACTCATGAGAGCAGAGGGAGGGGCAGAAGGAGAGGGGGAGAGAGAATCTCAAGCAGACTCTGCACTGAGCATAGAGCCTAACATGGGGCTTGATCCCACAACCAGGAGATCATGACCTGAGCCGAAACCAAGAGTTGGTCACTTAACTGACTGAACCACCCAGGTGCCCTGAACATATATATTTTTTAAAGATTTTATTTATTTATTCATAAGAGACAGAGAGAGGCAGAGGGAGAAGCAGGCTACCCGCTGAGCAGGGAACCCGATGCAGGACTTGATCCCAAGACCCCGGGATCATGACACGAGCCGAAGGCAGACGCTCAACCATCTGAGCCACCCAGGCGCCCGCCCTGAACATACTCTTAATGTGTAAAAATAAAACACGTTATCGAATAGGCTTATTGAACGTATACGGTGAGTCATTTCTGGCCCCACACAACCACTATCAAGATATGTTTGCTGCCCGGGTCTTCCAGATTTTTAAAAAATTATAGAGGCACCTGGGTGGTTTAGTCGGTTAAGTGTCTGCCTTCGGCTCAGGTCATGATCCCAGGGTCCTGGGATCGAGCCCCACATCGGAGCCTATTTTCCCTCTCCCTCTGCCTGCCGCTGGCGCGCTCTCTGTGAA